ATCTTACTTTAGGTTTAGTACCATTATTGCCAATATTGACCATAATTGAATAATCCATTTCCGTTGACCAAAAGTTGATACTAATTGATCAAAAAACAGGTACCACGTTGATAAATATGTGGTACTATATTGGCTAAAATAGGTACTATTTTAACAATCGTGATTTCTCTATTCTTTCATGTCTACCATGACACGTGGATCGTTCACGCCTGATTCGAATGAAAAATAGTGGAAGTTAAAATATATAGGGAAAATTTGGAGTAGTCATGTATGATGATTCTATGAGATGAAGTGTGACATTCAATGAATGAAGTGTATTAGTAATGTTTTTGTCATTAGTGTGTCGAGTTAATGATCATTTTACGATTAAACTCAATTTAAAACATTTCAAATTTCATCTGAACTTATGTGAGAGTGATTATTGGTCATACAAAAAACATTTGAGACCGAAATTCTATGTTTTATTATGTTTGTCGGAGTTGGTACTAAAGACCCGATATTCGGTACTAAAACATCGAAAGCTGGTACTATCTTATTCTAGGTCTGGTACCAATTATTGCAAATGTTGACCACAATTGAATAATTCATTTTCGTTGACCAAAAGCTGGTACTAATTGATCAAAAATAGGTACTTCGTAGAAGAAGAAATGGTTCTATTATTCCCAAAAACTGGTACCATTTTAATGAGATGAAGTGTTAGTAGTGTTTTTTCATTAGCGTGTTGAGTTCGTGACCAATTTGCTATTAAACTTAATTAAACACGTTATAAATATCATGCAAACTAGTGTGTGAGTGATTATTTGTCATGTAAACATCATTTCAGACTGAAATTTGGTATTTTTTATGTTCGTCGGAGTTGGTACTAAAAGACTCGATATCCAATACTAAAACACCAAAAGATGGTACTACCTCATATTCAAAATAAATGTCGTTTTGACTTTTTTGATTCATCCATTTTGCTATGTATCTAGACATACTATGTATCTAGACATATATATGTCTAGATACATAGCAAAATGGATGAATCAAAAAAGTCAAAACGACATTTATTTTGAATAGGAGGTAGTACTATCTTATTCCAGGCCTGGTACCAATTATTGCAGATATTGACCACAATTGAATAATTCATTTTCGTTGACCAAAAGTTGGTACTAATTGATCAAAAACAGGTACTTCGTAGAAAAAAGATTGGTACTATTTTTTCCAAAACTGGTACCATTTTAATGAGATGAAGTGTTGGTAGTGTTTTTTCATTAGTATGTTGAGTTCGTGACCAATTTGCGATTAAACTTAATTAAACACGTTATAAATCTTATACAAAGAGTGTGAGAGAGATTATTTGTCATGTAAACATCATTTCAAATCAAAATTGGTACTATAACAATACAAAACCGATACTATAAGAATATTAAAACTGGTACTATAACAATACAAAATTGGCATTAATGTGAAGAAAATAGGTACTACTACGAATAGAAAACAGTATCAGTTTAAAAACTCAACATCCTTAAATTAAATGAGTACTAACTACTGGAAAATGAGTACTTTTACACCAAAAATGCGGTACTAATATTAAGAAAACAGGTATTATTAGGAATCAAATAAATAAAAATCCAAAACATCATCAATTAAACTACTTTGTCTACAAACCATCATCCATAAAATTACAATCATCCATCAAACGATCAAACTACCAGACTACTTGTCCACAAACAACAAACCATCATTCACAAAATCACACCATCATCCAATTTGTCCACAATCAGCCATCAAACCATCATACTACAAAGCAAAACATCCAGTTTAAACAAATAGCAAACACCAGCCAAACAACCTGTCAACAAGGAGGATTTCTAAGGATGAGTGTTGTCATCCGTGCTCGATAGACATCGATTGAACAAGTATTTTGGGCCCTTCAATATTATGGAGTATCGACGGTGTAACATTCCATTTCCATGAACACGTGAACTCCACAGTCCTTCACCCCGGTCTGCTCCCTCTGGCCCGTGTTGGGGTCAATGACCTCAGGCGAGGAGGGGCCAAAGCGGCCGTAGTCGAGGGACACGTTGGAAGACGAGTCGCGATAGGCATAGTACGGGTACACGTTGACAATGAATGGTACTCGATTCTCGACGAGAAACTCGAGCAGGGGCTAGAAGAAGAACGCGTAGCGGCTGTCCTTACGCCCGTAGTACACCCCGATTTTCGCACCTCTGCAGGCACCTAAAAAGCACATATATTTTTAGTACTAATAGTAATTAATCTTTGTTACACATTTCTGATCATCTGACAAGGCATACTAGACATGATACTTAACCCCAACTACAGAGTTAGGAACGAGAAAAGGATAGAAACAAACAATTGAAGCATGGTCTAAAGGAAAAGGTAAAAAATAAATAAATAAATAAATAGAACGAATACTAAATTTAAATCGAAATAGAAAATAAGACCAGCGGCTTCCTGTTATTATCAATCCAGCTGTGTTCCATAGATTGCATTGCATCCAGGAAAGCCATGGTCTTGTGGGGAAAATAATTCATTGACAAGTCATGAGTTTTGACTAGCAGTCATGATTGTGATGTTATTACAGTATTTCATTACTTACAAACCTTCAATTAATTCATAACTACATTATGCAATGTCCACGTATCACCGTCCAAATCCATAACTTCACATAGTTACAATGTCCACATATCAATATATTATGCAAATTTGGCACATAATATCCAAACAAGAGTCTCTTCCAGAAAGACGTTGGCCAAATACAAACATTATAAGAAAATCTAAGCACATTTTTTTTCCTGAATAAATGAAGCCTACATTCTCGGCAAAGAATCTGAGTATGTATAGGCGAGCCAGCAATAAAACGTCATATTTGCACTCAATGAACACCATTGATAAGAGAAAAAGAGACGATAGAATGAATACATACCAAGAAGCAGCAATAGCTAAAATTTTGCAAAGATAAGTGCAAAACCATTCCCCATAGAGTTCACAAGAAGATAATTTTTAGGGCAGCAGTGTGACAAAAATAAAAAACACATTAATAATACTACAATCACTGAGAAATTCATAATTGGCCTAATTACTGAGATTACAAAAATCACTGACATAAAAAGACCCTAATTCGAGACAGAACGGTCCTATTGTAATCCCTATTATAATTCAAAATTCATAAATTCACTAAAATTCATAACTCTCAAAAGCCCTAAAACTTTCGAATTTGAGACAAATAAAAATTATGAACAAAGCCCTGAATAGAAAAAAAAAACCCTAAAATTAGGGAAAAAAAAACCCAAAAATCAGAAATTACCCTTGTCAGTTTATGCCTATGGTGATTTCTTTTTCGAGCCAGCCATTAATTCCCACCAGAGATAGACGAACGACGATTGAGTGTAGTGATCCGGCTTTTTATATTTTTTGTATAATTATTCTGAATTAATTTTTCTTGAACTGTAAATGAAAAAGATACTTGGGGAAGAAGAAGAATTTGGGGGAGAGATTTAGAGAGAGAGAGAGAAGAGAGTGAGACGAGAAAATACTCAATGCATAACTGCCTTCATTTTCACCTCAAATTCCCCAATAAGTAAATTACACTCAGTTGGGTCCACAACCTAACAAACTCACTATTTGGCACATGCTAGAAATAAACATAAATATAAAATAAAACAAAATGCCATTCAACTATTAATAATAAGTAGATGATGATGCCACGTTCCCACTATTCATCCATTGAGATCAATGGCCGAGATTTCTCCACGCGTCACCATCTGAGACTCCCCCTCAAAATCGGACAAAGCTTGTTTGATTGTCTCAATCCCTTTCACTTTATTTTCCCGATTTTCTTCTTCATCGCCATGGTTGAGTTTCTCTCCTTTTTCCCCTGAATTTCCTCTGGTCTCCACTGAATTCACGACATTGAGACAGAGAAAGACGAAGGCGGCGGAAAAAAAAAAAGAGGAAGGGAGACAAACGTCGAAAAAAAAAAAAAAGAGAGAAAATTTGAGAGCAAGACGAAGAGAGAGAGAGAGAGAGCTGAAATGAAATGCACAATTTTTTATGATTCAGTCAAAAATAAATGAATAATAATAGCAATAGTATATATATGAGGAGTTAAATGGAAAGAGAAATTATTAATAGGGAGTGAAGAGGAAGTATAAATTTAGTGGGGACTGACAAAGAAAGTATTTTGTGTATTAGGGATTTATTAGGAATTTTCTGTAGAAATAACTAAATATGCATTTGTTTATAAAAATTTATTGATAAAATAATAATAATAATAATAATAATAATAATAAAATAAAAATAAATAAACGAGGGCAAAAATGAAAAATCAAGCTCTTTCACAATTCAGTTCACATGCACTGTCCAGTCCAATGTTAAATGCTTTGTTCATCAGTCCATTTCAACTTTCCAACTGGAATCAAATAACCATCGTACACGTGTCCAATAACCGACACTCAGATCCAAATCCATCCACACACTCTTATCAGCCTTTAGCATCATCAGAACACTCTCCTCTATCTTTCTCCGCCCACAGATCCAACCTCTCATCTTTTTTTCAATCCCATTTTCACATTTCTTGAAATTAATCCCGTCTTCATCTTATGTCCGGTTAGCTTTCTTCTCCATCATGTAATTCATGGCTTAATTCGCAACTCTGCGATGAAGTAAGGAAAGAATTTCACGATGGGTGACACCTGGTTCGAGCCTATGGGGAAAAGGGTTCCGAGAAAAGCCTGGCTAGGCTCTCAAATGTCAATGGGGTTACTGGTGGGTGGGAATCACACCTCCTTCAGGTTTTGCACTCGCTAAATTTTTCTGTTTCTAGTTAGATTGCCTTTTTTTTCCTCTCTTGAATCTACCCGATTACCTCGTATTTAGCTTTCGAGTTAAACCGCTGCTCTTCTATAAATCTACTACACTGTTTAGTCGACGGATCTGATACTAGGTTGTAATAAAAAGAACTACTTTAAGGACTGAAAAGATTGAAACGGAAAATGGATTTGAAGTTCTTGAAATGGCATCTGATCCGTGGGCCTCTGATGAGGCGTGTTGTGCTGCGGGCTTTTATGCTTGTGCTTGCCGTGATATTGGTTTCATTGATGCATATGGCCCGTGAGGTCCGGGTAATCGAGCCGACACTGTCCAACGTTGCCCATAAATGCCCTCTCAATTTCGACCCGAATTCGAACCCGGAGTTAAACCTCACTGGCCAGGTAAAACCCGCCTCGAGTTTCGTGCTCCCCCTGTTCGCACCTTCTCCTTTGTCATGTCAAGAAAGTCAAAGGTTGAGCAGAGTCGTCTTCAAAGAGTTGATGGAGAAGAACTTGTTACAGTCGAATGCGAGAGCATTGTGCGTTGGCGAGAGACCGACCTCCGCCTTGCTGGCATTGCGCCATTTGGGATTTTTCAATGCGTATGGTGTTGAAAGGCACCCGTTTTTCTCCCTATTAAAGAGGAGATTCGTGTACGAGATCGATTTCGCGGACAACCAATTTGATTTCGTGTACACGCAAGATCTCGACCAGCTCTCGGTACCCGCTCTCTTGGTGCTCGAAATCGAGCGCGTTTTGCGCCCTGGTGGCACGGGTGCTATCCTCGTGGGGGCTCGTGAGTTCTACTCAGGTGGGCTCATGAGATCAGCCACCTCAATTGCTTCCTTTTTGAAGAACTCGGATATTGTCCATGCCTGCCCCGTCAAATCCTTCACGCTTGTGATTTTCAAGAAGAGACTCGAGGGATTTGCTTCCTTTGACCATTTCAAACTTCCATCTCACTGCCCTTCGGTCACAAACAGCAAGCCCTTCATGAAATACATCGAGCCTCTTCTGGCCCGGGCCCCGCCCAAACCCTCGTACCTGCCTAGATTCATGAACATTTCCTCGAGTAACAAATTGGTCTACATAAATGTTGGCATGGGCGAGCATGCAAAGACGAGCATAGCTAAAATGTCAAAGATCTATTGTGCTGACCACCACTCGGCTTTTGAGGTGTTCATTATTGACCACAAAACCTCTGTCCTCTCGACTTATGTGACAGACCCTGGCATCAACTTCGTGTACCACCCGGCCCTGACTGGGGACACTTTTGCCCCTGATATCAGTTCGGATGAGTTCCTGAGTGCCCCAGCTGATGAGGATGGTTTCGACTTTGTTCGCTGGTTCAAGGAGACTGTATCTGATGGTGATTTTGTTGTCCTCATGATGAGGGCAAAGCCTATGGAGCTGAAAATTCTGGTTGAGCTGTTTGAGACGGGTTTAATTTGCAGCGTGGACGAACTCTTCCTTCAATGCCTGGATTGCAAGGATCTTTTGGCGAGTTTAAGGAAGAGTGGGGTTTATGCCCACCAGTGGTTGGGTGATTGATCACTGGAGTATCATGGCTGTTGGTGAAAGTATGTTTGCTAAGTGTTTGCTTTTTATTGTGTGAGAATAAAGTGAGTGGAGGATGGTGGGTCAAGTGTGTGTTATGTCCACTCCATTGTTTGAACTTCTTATGATTTATGTCTTGTGTCTGAAACTTTGAATGGAACTTACTTTCCTCTGTGCTGGGTTGTGGAGGAACGTTATCTTTTATGATTAATCAAGCTTTGTGTGTTAGTATGCTCTTTTCACTTTTTTTCATTTGCATTAATTTGTGTGCCTAATGATCAAATGCTTATTGGTGTTCACCTCTTATTTACTTTTGTGGGGAGTGTTGAAGTTGCAAGAAATCAGGTTTATGGGAGTTTAAAACTCTTTTGGTGATGTGTGATAATGTTGATGTTGTTCTCTCTTCTCTTGGGATTAGTCTAATTAGTGTGTACCAAAACTAGTACGTAACTCGTGCGACGCATGAGACAAAAATGTTAAAAGAGTCATTCTCTTAGGGTCTGTGCGGTTATGCTTAAAAGAACGATAATTAGATGGTATTTTCTACCTCTTTTAATCAGTGTTGTTTCTTTAGCCGAAACGTTAAACTTGAGTCTGTCAACGCTAGCTTGTAAATTAATTAATATATTATTTCGGTAACACGTTTATACTAATATAAATTTGATTTTACTATTTATATTTATTCCTTGATATAAGAACATAACAGTTTTATTTATTTTTGTTCACCATATAATACTTAATTATAATTTTATTATAAAATTTATATTATATAATATCATTATTATTATTTATGCAAGTTATGAAGTAGTCTTCTCCATCTTTTATTTTATTTAATAAAATACTCCGTGCACATTTACTTATTATTGTTCACCATACAATATTTAATAAGTATTTTATTATAAAATTTGTTCTCATTATTATTATTTATAAAAGTCATTGAAGTAGTCTTCTTTTCTTTTTATTTTATGTAATGAAAAGTATTTATTGTACATTAATATTATTCATTAATATAAGTTATATTTAAAGCAAATAAATAATTTTAAAATAAATATTGTGTATAAATATCTTACAAAATACACATACATGTTTTTTAATTTTTTTTTTATAATATTAAATAACTTTGATTTAGCCATTGTCAAACTAAATCAATTTCATGATCAATATATTTATTTTAATTTGCAACATAACACTTTATAGTTTATTTATCATACTATGTGCCGATATGTGGATTTGTATTAACGGTTAATCAAGAATCAACGGTGGATTGAAGAAATAATCGTAAAATCATGGGATTTGATGGTAAAAGTAGAGTGTTTAGGCTTGAACGAGGTCGACCTCTGAAAAATTTGAGATCAGACCTTTAGGTTGTGCTGCCTGAATTTATTGCATATTTTTTTTTTTTTTTGGCTATTTGCATTAACCAAGCAGCTATCAGTTATTTTTTGTACTTAGCTTTGTTCGTTTTGCTTACCCGCCATAAATGAGACTTAAGACTATTTATAGTTATACATTCACGGTTATTTATCCCTTACTGTTCACCGAGTCATACCGCACAGTAAACCGGAATGCCGGGCATTAAATGAGGTGTGGTTGACTCCAAATGATGATTATCAACCATTAAATGTTGATTGACAGGCCCTTAACAAAGACACACCACTCTAGGGTCCTACGGGTCATAGGCTTGCAGGGTTGGTGGACACATCCCATCGGTTATCATTAAGCTGCAAATGACCTTCTTTTATTATTTTATGAGGTTGAGTGCGCCTTGGGGCCCGAGCTCTGGGGTTTTCAATGTCGGACTTCCGCCATGAATGAAGTTGGACTTCTTTCCTTTCGCCTTGGACTTCGCTTTCTCCTTGAGATTGCCCCCTAGTTGATCTACTAATTTATATGATTATTCTGTTAGGTCTATTTTGAGATTAAATATGTGTAATAAATACATTGTGTCATTATATTGTTTAGCCAAATTAAGTGAACAAATTATTGTACATTAGCTAAGTAACTTAATTTAAATCGTGAAATAATTAAATGTGGACACCCGATAATATTATTATTTGATGACGTAACAAGTAATAATGTTAAACTTAAGGACCTGAGTAGCAAAAACTATTAGGTCAAAATTATTAATTGGTGGAGTACCCAAAAGTCGTTATAAATGTATATGCTTGGAATTAATTCTTCATTAAGTTATGATACGAATGAAACTGTAACCCCATCTTTTCATGAGGCAGTTTTATTTTCGTTACGTAAGAGAAGAAGAATAAAAAACTGTACTGCCACCACACACTTTCCATAAGTTTTTTTTCATACGTCAGAAGGAGGAGGAGAGAATACAGTACAGTTTCACGGTCTTTTGGAAGAACTTAAATTAATTTAACAATTTGTGGTATACTTCAAATAATAACTTAATTATAGTAAATTCATTTTTAAGATACTTTAATTATTTAAATCATGTGAATGGGTTGATTTACCCAAATATGGGAAATTCGGTTGGAATATCAATTATGGTATAAACTTTCCAACTAAATTGTATAATTTATTATTTAATAATTGTTTTATATTTTTCGTATAATTCTTTTGTGAAATACGTTTTTTAATATATTGTAATTGCGCAAATTGTGTAAATCTGACTATTTATTCAATTGATAAATAATTACTACAATTACGTAAATATCGACAACAATAATTAATTATGCAGATTGAAAAAAAAAAATTGTTCTAAAAGAATTGTGTTAAGGACAATTTTTATTTATATATTAAATAATAAATGTTATTCATTTTTTTGTGTATTTAATTGCTCAAATCATAAATAATTACAAAAATAATTAGATAATAAAAATTTACATTTTTCAGATATCCTACTTATGCAAATCGTGTAAATTCGATTGATTTATTTAATTAAAATTTTCTACAAATTTTTTCTCAAATAATTGTATTAATGGCAGTTTCTATTTAATTATTTTTTAAGAACTATTTTAGGTCTTTATATATATATATATATATATATATGTATATATATAATAAACGTGAGTCATGATTTTGATTTGTACGCTGGGCAATTCATTTCGTGATTAAACTGAATATCATTGTTTTGAATATTATCGATAAAGTAGGAAATCAACTTATTTGGTATATTATATTTTGATCCAATATACCCTCTTATGGTAATACATGTGGTAACACAAAACTTCCCGACCGGCTGGAACTCGAAAAATCGCCCTCCTTCTCGTCGGTTGAACGTCGTGTACCTACAAAGAACTCTCACACCGGAGGGGTTTTCTGGTGAAGAGCCTCCGAAGCTTAAGTCGGTGTATGTTCAATCAATTCTCAAGAGTAAGTAATAGAATGATCGTGTTGAAGAAGAAAGGTTCACCCCCTTTATATAGAGGTGAGATACCTGACCTAGGGCTGCCCGGATTTGGTGAGCTGTCTGTCCTATTTGCCCGTCCGTACACACAATACACGTGTGTCAGAGGTAGCCGTCGCCACTATCGTCTGCACCAATACTCTTTGGACGCGTGTCCTCCTGCACATGGGGTAAGCTGTCAGAGGTGGTTGTCGCTATCCACTAGTGTGCTCTCGACACGTGTCCTTCTGCACATGGAATGAATATTCTCCTGAAATTCGGTTGGAGGTTCTCACACGCGCCTGTGACTAGGCCGATCCGTTAAAGTGCCAAGCTCGTAAGGTTATCGACCTGTTGAGGTCGACTATATTGCTTGATCACTTATTTGGTCGAGTAATGGGCTGGTCGACTGATTGAATGGTCGATCTTCCCACCGTTTGGCTCGACATCTTCACTGTTCCACCCTCTTGACATGTTAAATCGGGCCAGTTTAGCCTTGTGTATATAATATCCTATATCAACATGATATCTCAAAATTTGATATTTCATATTGTTAAGCATTTTACTCGATATTAATGAAAGAAAATCTGGATGATACTATTGTGAATGTGCGTGGAACATATCAAATTAATTTGTGTGTGTGCGTATGTGTGTGTGTGTGTAAATGTTTGTTTTTACTTAAATCACATTGTAGTCAAATTGAATTTCTAAATAAAAAATTTAAAATGCCATCTATTTTGGAATGAGCATAATGTAACTTATTATCAGTTACTTGTACCGTACGGGTCGTGTACTAATTTGAAATAGACATGTTTTATGTAATTTTGCACAAATTAGATTTAATATAACATTTTCAACAAATTAGTACATGTAAATCACATTACATGTTGATTCCATATTTCTATGTAATTTATAAATATTAATGAATACTTCTTACCCGTGCATCGCATGTGATTCGTACTTGTGTGTGATAAATAAATTGAGTCATTATATTGTTTAGCCAAATTAAGTTATCAAATTATTGTACAGTGGCTAAGGAATTTAATTTAGATTGTGGAATGATTAAATGTGGACACCCAGTAATATTATTATTTGGTGACATAACAAATAATAATGTTAAACTTAAGGATCTAATTAGCAAATAATTTGGTCAAAATTATTAATGGGTGGAGTACCCAAAAGTCGTGATAAATACAAATGGGGTCCTTGGAATTAATTCTTCATTAAGTTATGATACGAATAAAATTGTAACCCCCTCTCTTCATGAGACCAGTTTTATGTTCGTTACGTAAGAGGAGAAGGATAAAACTATACTGCCCCACACTCTCTCCATAAGTTTTCTTCATACGTCAGGAGGAGGAGAGAATACAATACTTTTTCATGGCCTTTTGGAAGAACTCAAAATCTCAAAATCCAATTCAAGTCTAGTGCAATCAATCAATATGAATCAATCAGGTACAACTTCCACTATCATGTGGATTCTCGATTATTCAATATAAATGCTTTTGGGATAATCAATTTCTTTCGCATGAGGTCAAATCCAATTCTATCATATTCAAGAGATAGCCCCTAGTTTTATCATTTAGTGATTTATATGGTTCAAATAGTTGCTCATATTTGTTTTTATATTTCTTAGAATAAATATTTCAAAGTACAAAATAAAAAATACTATATCTAAATAAAGTTATTTAATATACATCTATGCTTTGTTATTATAAGATAATTTTAGGCTCATTCATTGTATTTGAATTAATATCGATTTATAAACTTAAATTTTATCCTATTTGTAGAAAATATTTATTTATTTATTTTATATACGCTATACGAAAGTCAAATCAAAGATTATAAAACAAAAATAAATTGATATATTATGTCTAAAATGGAAAAAGTAAAAATTTGTTATTTCTATAAAAATTCTTTATTTTTGTTGAATAGCTAATGTTTACTATTATAACTTATTTTGGTTTAATACTTTTCATTAAAGAAAAATCTAGTTTGACTTTATTGATTTAGTTGTTATAAAACGATTATGAACATTTCATGCAAATATAGTAGCTATAATACTTTATTCATATTAGTTGTTATGCAACATTCATAATCATTTCATGCAAACATAATGGCTATAGCTAAAGTATATAAAAATATTAATAAGTTTAAAAAAGTCTAAAAGTCCTAAAAAAGTTTCAAATAAAAATTCTCTAAATGTCTCAAAATGTCCACCAAAGTCATGAAAGTCTTACAAAATTCAACTAAGTTACTTAATTCAAAAAATCTAAAAAAGTCTTTAACATTAATCTCAACTGAATATGCCCCGAAATATAGATAAACTTAAAAAATATAAGAAAAAATATTGGATAAAAAAATAATCTCTTTTAAGCACCAAATAACTAAAGTCTATTTTTATTATTCCTAACCTCTTTATAGAGACTTTTCAACAAGACATTTTTTTTTTTTTTTT